ACATATAGTTACCATAAATACAATATCAATACTGTTTGATGCTCAGTAATATGTTGTCATGTTGAATATTGAATTTTCACTCTACTTCATTTTACTGAATGAATGTGAAAATACAAATGCCGATCTTCTGAAATTGCATCACTTCTGACTCCTGAACCTGATTTTATTATTTGTCTATAAATATATAACAGGGTAATTTGTTCTATAGCTACTACTATAATGAACGACAATGACACACCACCATCAATATGTCTCAATCAAGGATTAGCGAAAGTACAATACTTGCGACCAAGTGTTTCGCTTAATAAACGCAGTATTTTTTCAATTGAACATGTTTACCTTTCAAATATTAGATCTCTCACTCAATTGTACGTCAAATCTCCGTGACATAAGTCAGTCACTACATGGTAATTAATATGGTGGCATATTTCTGCCATCGACTTTCGATTTACGAATTAATGATGTTGACATAATCCAGTCATCAATCAAAATGAGTCATCATAAAGAAAATATGTCGACATAACAAGAGAAGATGTCGACTTATTAATCATCTTGTCAAGATAATAACACGTTATGATTATCTAGCAAAATGGAAAATCGGATTTAAATCGTTTTGTACTGGGACATGCCATCGATTTGCAAAATGCTTATGTCGACATACTGGACTAAGGTGTCGAAATCTGACAGGAAACCGCAAGAAACGAGTCCTGAACCTAATGTACGCGAGCGATTAGCAGGTACCAAACACCTACGTAATAAGTCGACATCTTTTTTTCATTTGTCAACATCATTAATTCGTAAGTCAGCAGGTGGATGACAGAAATATGCCACCATACTTGACAGACATTGGTCAAACTTTAAACAAAGGTCAAGTAAGAGTATATTTAAGACTCTTTGGTGATTCAAAATCATAAGGTGAAGTTCACCGTTACTGAGAAAGAATGAGATCATGCAAAACCGTCCCGAATCAGTAAAACCATAGCAGGGTCGAGGCATTTATGCCTTACAGACATGTTCTAGTTTAATTCAAAGATTTTGACGAAATGAAAATTAACACATAGAGGAAGAAAATAGAATTGTTGTTTCTTGTATTAGACACATTGTAACATCTATCAGATGTTGAATATAAATATCTATTCTAACACTGTACGTCGCCGGTTATTGTCGCAAATTTATCTTAAATATTGTCAAGTGTGAAATTGTATGAGTTGTATTATCAAGTGAGAGAGTGATAATGTGGGGAGTGAGAATGAATGAGGTACATCGTTAGGTACTGTGGAGAGGTCTCACCTTTATCGTTGATATTGTGGTGAGTGAGAATGAATGAGGTACATTGTTAGGTGCTGTGGGGAGGTCTCACCTTTGTGGTTGATATTGTGGGGAGTAAGAATGAATGAGATACATTGTTAGGTGCTGTGGGGAGTTCTCACATTTGCCGTTGATATTGTGGGGAGTGAGAATGAATGAGGTACATTGTTAGGTGCTGTGGGGAGTTCTCACCTTTGTGGTTGATATTGTGGGGAGTGAGAATGAATGAGGTACATTGTTAGGTGCTGTGGGGAGGTCTCACCTTTGTGGTTGATATTGTGGGGAGTAAGAATGAATGAGATACATTGTTAGGTGCTGTGGGGAGTTCTCACATTTGCCGTTGATATTGTGGGGAGTGAGAATGAATGAGGCACAGTACTGTGGGGAAGTCGTACCTTTGTCGTTGATATTGTGTAGGGTGCTAATGTTGGCATCGTGCCGACTCGTATTATTATTATTTCTATGTAGAGATATGACTATAGATCAGAAGTGGGAGGTATAACGTTTTGATATAATTTCCGTTGCAGGTTTGCGCCGTTTTCCATGTCGCAAAATGAAAATAAATTAGAGAACATTTTCCGACATAGCGAATGTGTTTATTGCCCCGTTAGCAGCCAGGGTCATTTTGAGACGGAGTCTCTTTGTAGTAGGTGGTGACTAAATCATTGAACAACACGCGGCAAGCCTGTCGGATGTCATTCCGAGCAATCGGGTTAAAGTGTCAACACGAAAGCACTTACCAGTCTGTCATCAGCTTCCCTAAACTCCAATTTTGTATACTCTGAATAACTGGTAACATCGTTGCTAAAGCGATCTTTCTTTAATTTTACCTTTACTCATATTAATTGCATTTGTTCCAGCTGCGAAATTCAACACAACCTTCCATTTGACAACCGGAAAAATAAATGTACTGTACATTTATGTCTTATTCATCAAGAAGCTTAAGTTTCACCTAGAGCGTATAAATGAGCCTGACTGTTCCTAAAAGAAACATTACATACGTTGCGAGGAAAGAGAGCATTTGAATATGGACATAACGTTTGATACCGATGACTTCCGAATAGAAAATACCCAGCATTCTCAGACGTGCATTTTACGGTGCAGTGAGAGTTGCAAAGTCTCACTGTCCGTGTTTGTGAGGAGAATTACAGTTTTTTTACACTGTAATAGAGTTACCAAAATAATTGCAATCTAGACATCTGTTCGTTGTGGGGAGTTTTTTGTCTCCCCACAAAACTCAACTATCCCCATAATGTTGGTTTTTTTACGAATGAGACAACCCCGCAATGTAGGGATCTCGAGTGCTCTCTCTCTCTCTCTCTCTCTCTCTCTCTCTCTCTCTCTCTTTACATTACTTTCCCAAGAAAAATGCATACCATATTGCCCAAGCGCTTTTCCTTGGTACTTACTATTTGTTCACATCATCTCATAGGGAAACATCTTAACAATAACGTTGAAATTCGCACTGGTTAAAAAGAAATATTGACTTCCCACCTACCTTACAGATCAAAGGAAATCATCAGTGATCTTTTGGAGATATCACATATGCCATCAAAGATGGTCCGTTTATTTTCTCTGCGTTCTCACTGGATGATGCAGATTGTAAAGCCTGGACACTTTGGACAAGAACACAGTTTCTTAAAATTCTTTCTTACTGTTCATCCACTATTGGCAATGGTATTTACACTCCAAACTTGGATGATGCACTACTGTTGTTTTGAGTAAAAAAGAAGACGGAGATGTCATGGAAACAGAATTCAACATGTCAATTTCCAGTATATCAAAAGCATTTCATTCTCATGGTAAAAGTATTAGAAATAGCCATTTTTCCTTTGATCCTTGGATGTGAACATCTTACTAGAGCAAATATTCTGGAGCAAAATCACTTGGTTTGACAACAAATATGCCGTCTTATCGGAAATGTGAGCAGACGCAACATTGATAGATCTATAACCAAATCCAGAGTCATATCACTGACGATTCAAAATTCAAAAGCCGTTTTTCAAAACACTACTGTCATCGAAGTACTCCTTAGGATAGTAACACCTCGTCTCAATAGATATCCGAGGACCCATGTATGTTAGAACATAAGAGAGAGAGGCAAAGGATAGGGCGCTGGCTGTCAAAATGAAAGAGCTCCTTATTATTCCCAACAACTTCTGATAAATGGACCACATCCTACCAGAAGGGCGAAGTCACTATTTGTCAAACTAGATGCTACTGCGGATCAATGTGACTTTCCAAAGTTAGACAAGGAATACCTTCGGACAATATCATATGGCACCTACCAAATATCATTGGCAGCTGACTACTTAAGTCATCATTTCAATGACGATGGTGACTACGAAATTTGAAACTATCGGCACTCACAACTGGATTAAAGATTACGTAGATGAATGTATAAACCAACTTTAATCTATCATTTATCTTTCTTGTTAGAATATTGACAAATATGTTAATAACGAATATTAATTTTTTGTAGATATCAGGGAACATGATGGCCATTTTGAAAGTTGAAATTTCACTTTAGTGGGATATAAGTGTAGGTGACACTCCCGTTATACTAATAAAACAAGTGTTAACATTTTATTTCAGTTCACTTTACAATACTTCAATCCAAAACAGAATTTCCCCTTTGCGCGTTTTATTCCTAAGTATAAGTAGATGTGTTGACCTATATGTAACCACGAAATCAAGTGTCTGCGAAATAATGATGTTTGAGAAAAGAAATCAGCATCTAAAACATACGTAATTTTAGAGTATTTTTTATTTCAGAGTATGTATCTACAAGTATTTGGTCATATCCTAAGTACTTATACATATTCTGGTTTGGTGACGTGTCAACATTTTTTATGTTATTTTGTTGTGTTGCTATGTCTCTTTTTTGTGTTTAGTGCCGTGTTCCACCAAGCAATTCACCCAACGTTTTCATACTGTCAAAAATAGACAGGATGGAAGATGACAAGCTTCTGGAATGTATCAGGCTGATATGAGACAGGTAAATAATTTTTATCTGTTTTTAAGTTTTAATGTCAGCCATTTGTCGTTTCTCGTTTAGTGCAGGGTCTAAACCGGGCGTAATGACAAGGTATGAAGCCAGTCGATCAAATGTGGGGCTATCTCTGACAAAAGGTAAATGCATGGGTTCCAAAGTGCCAAACACCTGGGAAATCATGGGCTACATTGATTCATGATTGTCAGAGCTTTCCTCAGAACACACCTAAGCGAATCATAGTGGCTTTATTATACTAAATTTGTAAAGTATAATGCAATGTTAAAAGTTCAGCACACTTATGGCCAAATCATAATTTCTCACTTTGCCATTACATAGGGGTCATCAGTTTCAGTACATTTAAATCAAAACTGATTTTTCCTTTTGTAAAACTAAGCATTGGTGTAGTCCTTGTTGTGTTGCTATGTCTCTTTTTTGTGTTTAGTGCTGTATTCCACCACTCGATTCACCCAACGTAAGGCCAAAACGAATATAAGGATGAAAATGTTCTAGATAGTTTGTGCTTGTTTTACCCAAATAAATTAGAAATTGAATATTAGAAAATATCATCGGTCAAAATACTACACCAACTGGCGATTTGTTCCTGATGACGTCATGGTAAGAAACATCAGATAACGCGTTTGATACACACTTTTTATTTGTGAATCAAATATATGAAAGTGCAAAGCATTGCAAAAGAAAAAAACCATATCGTCCATTGCACAACAACCGCCGTCCATGGCCCATAGTTCTGTTACATCAACCGCTGCCCGTCGTTAGTTGTTCACGGTTCACTTACACTAACCGCCAATGTATTTATTGATAAAAGTTCCTGTCTTCATGTCAGGAGACGCTGCTGGAAGAGATGAAACATTAACAGGACAAAAAACATATGTACCGTTCTATCAAATTAATTTGAAATCAGACTACAAATAATGAAAAAAATGTTACGATATTCATGAGGCAATTTTCATTTAAAAATGTAAAGTACAGCATATATTTTTTGAAAACCAAGTGTTCTAGCATTTCATGAACATGAAATGTGCTATGATGAACCATTAGATATTTGTGTTTCCATGTTTAGATATAGAGTTTTATCGATGAGTCGAGTGGCAATATTTGTGTTAGTCCATGCTTTTCTCTTTAGTGTATGGATTTGTATAACGGGGAACATCATTTACTTCCAACACCTCGACAACATTCATCTGGAAAACATACGTGCTATGATAATGCAGTTGGCTGTTATATACATCCCTCCAATCTGTTTGCATGTTTTTGACGATATACCAGAGATACGGTATCCCGTCAGTGAATTCAATAAGGTATCTAAGAACGAGGCTGGACTAGGGCTTACTGTAGTGATGTCATTGTTGTCTGTCGCATCGTTTTGGCTCGTACCTGAAAGAATAAAATTACATGAAACCAAAACAGTATGACTTTCTTGATTATCCCAAAATAGCAATATTGAACTTCCTTCTGTAGCGTACAAAACAATATTCACCCACTAGCTACATCTTTCTCTCGAATAAGTAACAATATTCTTTCAGAAGCTACTGATTTCTGTCGAGTACATAAAAACATCATCTTCCTAGGTACATGTGGTGTATATACCAATATCCTCTCACCACTTACTTCCTTCTATCGAGTTCATAACATCCTCTCACGTGTTTCTCCCTCTTGTCGAGTGCATAACCTCATCTCACAAGCTATTCCCCTCTGTCGAGTATATAATCCCCTCTCACAAGTATTCCCTTCTGTCGAGTAAATAACATACTCTCACGAGCTACTCCCTTTTGTCGAGTACATAACCTCATCTCACAAGATATTCCCTTCTGTCGAGTACATAACATCCTCTCACAAGTTATTCCCTTCTGTCGAGTAAATAACATACTCTCACGAGCTACTCCCTTCTGTCGAGTACATAACCCCCTCTCACAAGTTATTCTCTTCTGTCGAGTTCATAACATACTCTCACAAGTGTTCCCTTCTGTCGAGTACATAATATTCCCTCACAGGTTATTCCCTTCTGTCGAGTAAATAACATACTCTCACGAGCTACTCCCTTTTGTCAAGTACATAACCTCATCTCACAAGCTATTCCCTTCTGTCGAGTACATAATCCCCTCTCACAAGTTATTCCCTTCTGTCGAGTACATAACATACTCTCACAAGTGTTCCCTTCTGTCGAGTACATAATATCCCCTCACAAGTTATTCCCTTTTTGTCGAGTACATAACATCCTCTCACAAGCTACTCCCTTTGTTCGAGTACATAACATATGTATGTACATAAGATATATTTTGAAAATATCATCTATTACATTAATATAGATGATTATTTTCCTCACTAAAGAATACCGATAAGTTATAGAGAGATATGTGGGTTTGTATAATACAAAGTGTAAAGAAAGTGTTAGATTTCTGGTCGAAGGTGATTCTTTTAGGGTTTGGGTGGGTTAAATAGAGGCAAGTGTTCATATGCAAGTAAAGTGTAGGGTGTTGGCTCTTATTGATTACATCCAAGACACACAACTGAACAGTACAAGCATTACACATTAAGAATAAATTACAGTAGACTCATCTGTTTCGTCCTTCTAGGGACTCGCCAGTGATGCTAAGGGCTTGAAGGGTAAAACAAAGGAGGTGACAGGAAAATCAAATTTGTCGAAAAAACTTGTCAAAACCCAATGGGAAAGTTCAAAAGCCCCTAAATTCAATATAATTTACTGTTGACTCCATGTGTATGTATTAAAATGCAACATCCAAATTGCGGCAAACCTCGGGGATTAAAAATTCGAAAGCAATGTCTACCAACGAAATAACACATTTTGATATTTCAAATATAATGAAAATGTTCAAATTTCATATGACGACGATTTGTATTTAATTATTTATTAAATCTTATTCCATTAATCGTATCTCCATTTGAAATAGAAAACGTACCTTTGTCCATTTCATTACAACTTGCCTATGATGGTGATCTATATCTATTTATTTATTTATCTATATATCTATTCGATTCGTCGTATATCCATTTGCAATAGAAAACGTACCTTTGTCCATTTCATTACAACTTGCCTATGATGGTGATTTATTTCTTCATTTATTCATTCGATTAATCGTGTCTCCATTTCCGATATCAAACATAGCTTTATCCACATCATTTTTATCGGCCTCGTCAAATTTGGTATCACACCAAATTATATCTATAACATATACAACACCACCAATACGTCGACATTTGATTTATATTACTACTATCAATAGAAAAAATAATGTTATCAAGAAACGGACAACATAATTAAAGCCCGACGGATCGTTAAGGAGTCAGTACACCCTTACTTCTCTTAGTAACACCATATCTAAATTTCTACCTCAGTACGCATTGAGTTCCTCGACAAATATCGTTTTAATTACCAAACTTCCTTTCGTGCCTTCTGTGCATAACTTAGATCACATTTATGATTTTCACGGAATAGTTTGTTGTCGCCATATACCATGTTTGCAATTTCAAACGTAACATATAGCATGCATTTTATAATTCAAATTCTGATTGATGTATTACTTGCAAACACATTTTGAATTTAGAAAACGTTTGCAATGTGTTCTTTTACAAACAATGGTAACTGACTGTTCATCTAATGACCGACTGGATTCTTTCGGTACTGTCGTTTTACACGGAAAACCACTTAGCATTTCCCTTCTAATGGTTTGTACTGTGCTGGATGTATGTCTGTTCTCATTTGTTTGTTTATAAATATGGAATGATAAAAAAACATGACTTACCAAAGACGAGTGTTACACTGAGGACAACCAAGACAACCGCAGTAAGTACTCTCTTTGTGTGTTCCATTGTCGTTTGAGAATCAACTGTGCAGCTACAGGAACCGTCACAATATATGTACCCAGAGGACAGCAGCATCATCACGCGAGCAGCCACGGGATACAGCGCTTTTCGGTCTTAATCCGCCATTTAACGCCTCTGCTTAGCGTTGTGTACCGTGTTACAGAACCAGTATCACTTAAAGGTTACACAAGCGGTCAAATTCGATATGTCAAGGCACCACATGATTCCACACATTCACATTAGTGCGCTCGTATTTCTCTATACAATGGTGTTGATCATCAGCCCGATCACGACTTTTTCCAACGTGTTTCAGCGTTAGCGTTGTGTAACTATCACAGTTCTTGACTCTACCTTGGAAACTCATTACTTTATTTTTTTATCTATTTAAGTTATATCTTTATTTATTTTACAGTTTATT